CCAACCTTATATATATACATCACATCTGAGGTGAAACAGTACTATGAGGCACTGTTTTTATCATACAGACCTCGGACAACAGAATGCAGTATTTGACAGTTTTGCAATACAAATTGCTTTCATTCAATATTCAGGACGATCAAAGCACGCGTGGGCTTTGGCTAAACCGTTAAAAAAAATTCCAAAATCACCTATACGGCCAGCCGGTTCTGACTTTTGCAGTGCTAGCTGGGGCGAGTGTTTGAATGCACATTAACACAGTTAAGCTCCAATATAATAGAGAATTTATTATGTTTATTTTTTATTTAAAAATGGTTTAACGCGCGGCACTTTGAGTACTCTGGGAAGCGTTGTTCACTGAACGACTGAAAACAATCGGCACAGCGATTAAAATTACAAGAGAGACTACTAATAATCAACAAAAGAAACAAAATTCGTTGAAACATACAGAGACGACAATTTTCATTCGGGAAGACAAGTATTAAAGTGTCTCTAAAAATCCTGAGTCTTCGAGCTTAAAGCTGAAGTTTTTGTTTTAAGCTTGCTTCCCGGTGTTTGGTTTTTTCAAAGACGAACTCGAGGCAAGAAAATCGCTCAAAGCTTCTTTTACAGCCTGAATTATAACTAAAAATTCTTTGGAACGTGTTCTTTCTATTTGCGGTGAGAAAAAAGATCTGTAAGCTTATATAAACCTGATACTCGGTCAGATCATTGTCTCAAATCTTACAAACGTGCGTAAACAAAATAGCCGCATAAACTACGCTAGACTTCATTAAATTAGAAATAAAAAACAAACATCAAATACAATAGTTACTCGGGCTTACCACTCGAGATGCAGCTCCTCAAAGGTATCAAGTAAGGCCAGTATCGCTTCAGACTTTGAAACCCTCTTACGCAGTAAGCAAGATGAAAACGAAAACGATGCCATCCGAAATCGGATTTCCAACTTTGACAAGTGACGTATTTCTCAACCAAAAACCCCATAAACAAACTAGCCATGGATAACAGAAGACCTCCGATAGCAGCTGAATTTCATTTTGTACATCCAGTGGAAAAGGACAGTTAAAAAAGTCACAAGTTGACACAAAACTCTGTCAGCTTCAGCTATCAAAGTAAATAAGACTGAAGATGCTGCCTAAATTTTCCGCATGAACTCACCTGTCAAATTTTGACCAATCAGAGCATAAAAATTGGACGTAGAACGTGACCAACGCGTGAACATGCTGAGAAAAGTCAAAAGCAACTGTCTTCCCTGCCTGTAGCAGCTGACTGAATTTTCGCGTCCGAGATCAGTTTGAAATCAAAATTTTAATTGTGCGCCACATAAACACAACATATTTCATACGAATTTTTTAAAAAAAATTAAACTTGAGCCTGCGATCAGTTGAAAATCAGTACCTTGTCAGCGGATAACTTCAAAAAAATACGTGACCTCGATGGGTCGAAACCTGAGCCCGCGATTCGCTCAAGTGATACAGGTCAGCGGATACCTTGTTTTGACAGCTGTCAATTGATCACAACATTGATATCCAATATGTGTATCAGTTTTCCTGTGCTCCCAAACTAGCTAAAAAGTATGATTGAACATTGTTCACGATCTAGTAAAACGATTAACTGGTCAGCGGACAGCTTCCAAATAAATCACGTCACCTCGATGAGTTGACACATGAGCCCGCGATATGGTCATGGGATACTGGTCAGTGGCTATCCTGTTTTGACAGCTGTCAATTGACCATATTGTGAGTGTCATATATAAAAGATGAGGACTTGTCAAGACACGCCTGAGACACCCCTCCCTTCCTTTTGATCGTCTCCCCTACCCTACCCGTACAATCTGTAGACGCGTACGTACGTACGTACGTACGTACGTACGCTCGGTCAGTCACGTGACAACCAAACGAAAAGAGGTTGACCATATTCCATGAGTATGGGGCTCTGTCCCACGCGCGCTTCGCGCGCGCGGGAGCCCCGCTATCATTTTAATGGTTCATTTGAAGATAGACTAAAAGAGAAATTACTTGCACGTTAATGACGTTATACAGTAGTATTCTTTCCGATTCAAAGTAATATTTTTGTTCTTTTATAACACGAGCTAGGTTAGTTACTTTTGTAATAGTGTCAATAGTACCGATCTTTAGCGAAGGATATTCACGCGCAAAGTTATTTATAGATTATTTCAGTTGACCGTGTGAACTTTTCAAAAATGCTCACGCATGCGCACTCCGAGATTGTCTAGGCGTCTCCCGGCCGTTCGTCTCGGATACGTCACCGAAATGCATTGACCGAGAGGGCCTGAAAAGACGCCGTACAGGGACTAGGCAAACTTTCGCTTGTTCTCGTTGGCTTCCACGATTTCCAAATCTTTACAGACAGTACGGCGCATGCGTTAAGCGTGGAAAGGGGGGGGACATGTGTTGGGTCTCAGTCTCTTTTGTCCGAGTCGGCAGTCAAATATCTCCACGTCGGGCGAAGAAAGATTCAAATATCCCCTCCCCTGGGAGAGCAAGATCAGTCAAATGCCCTACCCCAAGGCCAATAAGGACAATCAAATCCCCAGCCCATGCCCTGATTTATAAAAACCGCGTTAGCAAAAATTTTGTCATTTCCCTCTACTTCCCAGGTCTTAGCTTGTTTCCTGTGTTGTTTGCTTATGTCGTATTTTCCTGGTTGTTTTGTGGTTGGGTATTTTGTCAGTGTAGAAGTGGTTGCAGACAGAATTTCCCGAATTGCTATCCTACCTTCTCTTCCGTCCCTCTTTGTATGTTTTTTTTTCTCTCTTTAACACAAGTGACAGTTATTCGAAATCAGTGTGCGCCTGAAGCTGGTTTCGGTGCCGTATAGCAGTTTATATTTCGTTATTGGCCACTTTGAGAAAAGTTTCCCAAAGAGCTCATGTAAAGCTCTGAGATGAGACAAAGTTATTGCGATTGGCAGAGTCTGCATCATCCAGTATCGTATTGTATTCCCGTTTCATCTGGCTAAACGGATCAATCACCCCGATCCGGGCTGAGACAGAGAGGTATTAAAAATACTGTTCGCTTTTCTAAGGTGAATACCAATGTCTTTGGCCTCGGGAACAGGCTCTTTGGATTCAAATTAATTTGACCCAGGCCAAGACTGATGTGAAAACAGGGTCTAGGCTGGTCTGCCGACCGTGTGACTCCTGGAACTTGAATAAGACGAGTGTGAGAGAAAAGTCCAGAGGTTGTTATCTGCCAAAAGGCTCAGTTTTTCTCAGTTTTTTCCGAGTTATTCGATAATATTTCGCCTGTGTTAAAAGTGAAAAGATTATGCGTGGTTGAGGATAGTCTTATCTAATCAGTGCCGCCAAAGTGTGTGATTGTGCGGTGTGATTTCCGCATAGTGTTGACAGGTAGAACTCAGGTATGTGTTCGCGTAGTTGAGTTGTTTCGCCAAAATATTCTGTGCCAGCCATAAAAACGTTTTGTCGGTGTTTAGCTTAGCTGATTGTACCTTGGAAAACCAATTCTCGACTGAGGAAAATTGGATCTAGGTCTAATTTCAGCGGGCTCTTGGCTTTGAACCATAGGCAGGAAGGTGACAATTTGTGTACTATGTTTCAATCAGTTTGTTGTCTATTCCATACCAAAAAAAAGCCAAAAAAAGTAATGTTTTGCTAACTACTTAAGTTGTTATGTAGGCCTTAACCAAACACTTTCTGGCTGCAGTTCAATCAACTTAAAAATTTCTAGACTGAAATGACACCGTTTAAAAACTTCACGGAGTCAAATTACTGAATAAAAAGTTCTAAAATTTGCATCATTTTATATTTGGACACTTTGGAATGCTTCTAGGGACCATTAACTTACTGCCCGGCGTCAGATAACGGCTTTTAACCGGGTTTTGAATGATTTCTTATTGTTTTAAATTGCCAAGTAGTAAAATGAGATGATTTTTTTGCTAACCCGGTTTTCAAAAATCCAAGTATACTTTTACCCTCAAAAATATTATATTTGTCTCTATTTGTCCTCGATAGCAAATGCATTATTGTCCTGTTTGTCTCAAAGAAAAATGTTATTTATATCAAGGGATGTGTTCAAAACAAGGCCCAACTCTGCGCGAGCTCTGCTTGCATTTCCGGTTACGTACTTTCCGAAAAGGAACAGAATTAAAATTAAACAAACAACTGTGTTGGATAAATCTGGCCACGGTTGTGGCAGGTTTAATGAAATCAAAGCTAACAGAATCACAACACATCGATGTGTAAATCGATTAACCTACTGAATAAAAAATGGGGCGACAAAAATCCTCCACAAACTACCCTGAATAAGAAAATGAAAAAAGAAGAAATAGGAAATACCGTTCACAATAATAGCCCGCAGGCAGGTGAAAAGGGAGGAGGAGGGAAAGATTTTGCTCGAGATCTGACCGAGTTGATGACGAGGGAGAGAAGGAAGAATTACTGGGAAAATACCTCGATATACCTACTTAACCCTGACACCGCCCTATAACCTAATTTGCTAGATTTGCAGTACCTGGTACTGCCTGACCTAGCGAGTTATCATGTGAGTATCACGCCTTGCCGTAAATTACATTATGTCTGCCATGATGTCTAGTTATTTGTCGTACACTAATTATCACTTTTGAGAAATGTAATATTTAATCCACATCGTGTATAACGCATAATTGGCTAGCCTCTTATAAGTATTTTTTGTCGCTCGCCTTAGCTTATAGACTGCACTTTTGCGAAACAAGCATTAAGCTTAATGACAGAGGAAGGGTGTATAAGATTTTCTATTTTACAAGAGCGGTCCCGTAAGTAACCCTTAAGCGAAGCGGTAAAGCGTTAAAATGGAACGTGTAGAATCTATGCGCTGATCTAAAAAATAACCAAACAAGAATACAAGAATACAAAGCAAGAGTTGAGAATGCTGTAATCATATTATTAAACGCGTAAAAGAATACAAAAATCTTACACACCCTTCCTCATAACGTTCGAAAGCGACCCCACCGATTTGACAACGTATGTTTTAGTAATATTAATGTTGAAGTGGGATTACAACATTTTCATTTCTTTGACGTCTAAATAATGAGATCAGAGCTTTTTTAAACTCTGGAATTCTTAAAGTATATAGAATGGGATTTACAAAAGAATTTGCACCGGACAAAACAAACGTGGCACTCATATACAAAGGAGAACGAAATAAACCAGACCTTTTTTGAGTCAAAAAAAAGAAAAGACCGAGAAAAAATGGTAGCAACATAAATAAAGATACAATAGTCATTATGAGCAACGTCACAGTCAGCTTTCTTTGTCTATTGGCTCCACCATGATGCTGGGGATGCGCTCCACAAAAAAATTTGATTGAGATACAAGTGTAACAAACACAGATAACGAATAGACACATACAATAATATACTGGCAAGAGCACAGGTGCTGTGAACGTTACCGAAATACGACCCAAGTTTACAATAAAAGCCAGAACCCAGACACCAGCTATTGTTACCCTGTAGACCCATTTTTTGATGACGCGATGCCTGATTGGACGAAATGTCGCATGCATCCGCTCTAAAGAGATCACAGCAATATTTGTCACGGAGGCGAGAAGTAAAAAGATAAGAACAGCTTGTGTCAAAATTGCTTCCACGTAATCTACAAATACGTTACAAGGTAAAAAAGGGAATTGAGGAACCCCGAAAAGTACACCAACCAACATGTCGACTACGGTCAAGTTTATAACCAAGCACGTGCTTCTTTTGCGAAGGTTTTTGTTCCTCATAAAGACAATGATTGTAAGAAGGTTGACAGATACGATGATAACTGACTCCGTTACAGATACAGCATGCCAGGCGATACACTCGGATGTTGTATACATCTTGAATTCTGTTGTTGTCCTTCTCTTTTCGTCTTCCGTATTTCCTTGTTGCTCGTGAATACCTGTTGGAAGTAGAGGAGGAAAAGAGCATATCCATTAATTTGAACGCTTAATCGTGCGCAGGCTACAAGAAGAGCTTCCTTTTGTCTTCTCGATCGATGAAGAGAAAAGCAGGCTCTGCCTGAATCACGTCTAGCCTTTGAGGCTGCCACAGCCCAAACTCAGTAGACTAATCAGTTTTGTTCTCTCCTGTCAAACTGGTTTTTCTTCGAGTGCAAGCCTTCCTTTTTTTGATAAACCGATGGTCATAACTGAGCCCACTGTACCATGCGCTCGGCTATTAGGTTAGACTGCAAAAAATAGTCGGTATTTTAAAGACTTTTGTTCTTGGGCTATCGTGGTTTAATCAGAAATAAAGCACAAACAGCGGTCACATTATGAGCTTTCACATTTTTATATAAACTTGATATTTCGTATGGTAGTCAACACATATTTTCAAAAGTGATCTAAAGTGACTACACATATCATGACAAGTCGGTATTTTCTGTCAAAATCGGTCTGGCGAAGCGTAAGAGTAGCGGCGGTAAGGATCTCACTCGCGAGAAGCGCGCGAGCGTCATAGGAGATCGAAAAGGAAGGAAAGGAAATAAAAAGAAGGTAAAAAGACGAAGCAGAAAAAGAAAGAGATAATACAAAAGTAATTAATGACAGTTTGTTTGAGTTTTCTCGCTTCCCTTCAAAATACGGGTATCTTAGGGTAAAATAGAAGAGAACGAGTCTGTACGTGTTGGCTCTTTTCTATGAGCCAAGTGCGACGACGACGACATTGTAATAACGCATGCCAAGTATTTCTCTCATAAAATAAAGTACCCTGCCAAATATAATGCAGGTTACCTCTTTTCCACAGGACTGAGTTTTCAGTGCTTCAGCCCGGATTCTTGAGACAGGATGTTTCTGACCTCCGAACAAATAACACAGGACCTCTGAGAATAATAACCAACAATTTCAACCTGAGAGCAGCCCCAATCGATTAAGTGGCTCATCATTTTTTTTCCACAGGGGGTATTTGACTTCCTTTAGGATGACGTTCTACTTACAACGCAAGGAAATGCTTCTACAAGAGTACCTTTAAAAGACGATAGAGGCTTGTCTGACAAAAAGATGACGTTCATGCAAAGAGGACTTGTAAGCAGCTTACACGCCAGGCTGTAGATGAGGACAGTGTATAATCTTTGGCTTCTACCAAACGAAAGTGTTAGTGAAGGCCTCTCTGTGATCAGTCGATATTCGATCAATCAGCCTTTAATTAATCCTTCCCTGCTCATGAAATTATTTGAATATTTGGTTTAGAAAACTGAATTGGACCAATCACAAGACAAGGCTATTTTTGCATTAAGTTCTCTATTTACGCTGCGACTGATTAATTTCTTTGTATTAGAAGTAGCATGAACATCTGCAAGGGGATTTAATTTGTTTGGGACAAAATCCTCGTAAAATGACTTTGCTTTTTTAGCAGCTTTGACTCTTAGATAAAGAATAAGCTTCATCTTATATTTACTTATCTAACAGTTACTAACCAAAGCCCGTAAAAAGCAATTTTGTTTAAAGAGACGAATAAATGGGTTAAAGCCGTGAACAAGAATTTAATGGCTTTAGCCACGATAACATAAAAGGTTCTTTTGAGCTCTCTTGCTTTAGAGAGCGTCGTTTTTATTGAGGCCACGAAAGACGATCGGGAGCCTCAAGAGCCTGCGCGTATATACCTTGCTTTTTTTAAGAGAGTTTTAGCAGCGGCGCAAACGCTAAGTCATACTATAAGTTAATAAGAGCGCAGCAGAGCGTCCGCGTGCGCGAAGCCCCATAGCTAATTAAGGGAAATTGGAAACCTATGGATCCGAGAAAATTTGGTTATGACTTCAGCGTACGCCCGAATGACCGTCCGCACAGACTCTGAGGTTTGGGGTAAAAACCCCAGTAGGGTAGGGAAGGGAATGACAGTCGTGTGCCTTGCGTTTTGGTTAGCGCAAAATTAACCATTTTAGGGGCAACCAAAGCTCTTGTGCAAAATTTAGATTGATGTTTCTTGTGCTCGACTGACGACAACATTTTGCGAAAAACTTCTTAGGCTTGATGCTTTTTGTTTGATCACGCTATTGGACACGCTCCAAGAGCAAGCTAGTCTCTGCCCCACCCTTGGTCAAAAGTTTCAAAGGTGAATCCATGCGTTTATTCAGCATCTCAGAAATTTGTTCGCCGACAGACTACGTGCCGATCGCGACTGCTGTCAAGGTTCTTCTTCCATTTTTCAAAACTAAATTGTCTATTTGTTTTTCTTCAAGAAAAGCGTCGCAAAGGGATTCATCGATGGCTGCGTTTTTGCCTGGTTTTGCCAGTTTAAAGCAGGCTCTTATGGCCGACTTCAGTAAAATCTTTTAACCTTTCAAATTTTTAACTATTGGCCGAGTATTCTTCCACTGCTGCCACTAAATGAAATACAGCTGCTATCAAGATTCCTCTTTTATTCCAAGCTGGATTTTTTATTTGTTTTTTTGTTGAGGAAAGCGACCCCACGGGATTCAACGAAAGTGAATGCTGAACATGCAGACTTTTGCAGCAGAGTACAGGAATGGTTTCTGACCTCACGTACTCGCTATCAGAAGCTGCTTCTAAGGTGAGCGTGAGTAATTATTGCAGTTTTTGTCTCGTTTTAGTTTTGCTGTAAAATCGGGTGTAATTATTTCATGTTATGACATGTAATAAAGATTTGAGGAAGAGAGACGATATCTATGGCCTCCCGTTATGCTTACAACAGCTTAAATTAATTTTCTGGTTGCAAATGAAAGAAATGAACGTTTTTAGAGAATACCCACAGTTCTAGTGATCCAATAAAAAGTAACGGTAATTAGCGAAAGTCTTGCCTCGGGGCTCGTTCATCTATTTTACCACTATACGCCAAACCATGCAGTCATGTCATTAGCGGGGCAAATCATCCAACTTTTGTATTTTTGTATAAAGAATAAAGTTGTTGTTGTATGTCACAGTCATAATGAACAATGTCACAATCAGTTTTCTTTGCCTATTGACTGCACCATGGTGCTGAGGACTCGCTCAACACACAAATCTAATTCTAATACAAGTGCACGAAACTCAGATAACAACGAACAGACAAAAAAAATGGTACATTGGTATTGGCCAGAAGAAAACAAGTACCTCAGGTGAACCGGAATCAAAGCCGAAAACTGTCATACTTAGTACCATCGTAGGTAAAACCCAAAGAGCGGTAATTGTTGCTCTGAAGACCCACTTTTTGAGGCGTCGATGCTTGAGTTGGCGAAATATTGCACGCATGCGCTCTATAGAGATCTTAGTAATATTTGTCAAGGAGGCGAGAGAGAAAAAAGCGTAAACGAAAAACATCAAAAACAATATTTTCGGAGAAAATTTGCACACTTTTAGAAAGCCGCAACGAACTGGGTTATAATCCACCATTAAAACAATCACAGAATGAAGACCAACCAACATATCAGCTACCGCCAGGTTTATAACGAAGCACATGGCACCTGTTGAAAGTAGTACCTTTGATTAGTTAGAAAAATTCACGCCTTATTCCGGCGTAACTAATCATGACAAGTTTTCCATCCAATAAAACAGGTGGCCTCGATATTTTTCAAAACTGACACCACTGTTCCTCTTGATGACCCTTTCAATGTTGTTGCTTGTTTCCTCTGTGTGTTGGAGTCTACTTTGACCACAAACTTTTTGGTTGCAACTTTTGGTGAGAGCTATAAAAACTTGTTTAAAACTCAGGCAATAAATGACAAGCGGCACGCAGACGCTATCTTGAGTAACAGAGCTAGTTATGCAGGATCACCTCCTGTTGGATCCTGGTCCCAGGAATGCGCAAATAAGCAGACAAAAATTAATTTTCATACCTAACGTTGCCTGTAACACTGATCTGGGGCCAAAAGAGGATTGTATGATCATTAAATGACAATTTTGTGTTGCAAAACTAGCCAAATTGCAAATTAGCAGTGCTTTGTTTCTGAAAATAATTATGCTCGTAATGACAAATTGTGGCAAAAATTATGCTAGCATAATCTATCAAAGCCTCCACTAAACGGCGCGTCCCTGGCAATAGTGACAACACGGGTGTGACACGATAAACAATTCATGCGTTTTTAAATTTCTAATTTTTAACAGTGGGAAAAAATGATGCGAAGTTGAGCTTGTTATGATTTCCTTTTGTCTTCAAGCTGACCTTGACAAATAGGCCTTTTTTCGCCCATTGCACACAACGACATTTAAGAAACAATCATGATTGTAGCCGGTAGGCGTCAAGAAACAATTGAGAGGTACAACGCTTTTTCTTTCAGGGGGGTTCAACAGCTCACAGTTTAATCTATCTGCCTTTTTTGTCGCTATCAGTTTACACAACTTACCTCAATCGCCAGCAGCTGCTTACTGAGACAAATTCTGGCTCTAGATACTCGGTGATACTCTTCACAAATTTCAGCGAGGAATTCTTCAAACGACTTCAAGTGATGAACCTTTTGTGACTTCTAAACACCTTGAAGTTAAACGATAGGCTGTAGTTACCGACATTGAGTAGGCTTCCTCTTCTTTCAATTAAACGTACGTCTTTAAGATGATAAGCAAATGGTCGTTTTTCGATTTACTGCCTGCCTTTTAAATCATTCCCCTTTCGTGAAATATTTGGATATTCGGTTGAGACCTGAGCCTTGGACCTATCACAGGGCTTAGCTATTTTTGGATTGTACCTCACTGAAGGCTCCGACCAATCAACTGTTTGCTCAATTGTCATTCGTTTGGAACTCGATGAGTAGAAGTGTCAAAACAAGGTCGCTTTTTGCTCTCAAATATACTGCTTTGCATGTACAGCTTTGACAGACGTAAAAGCACTAAGAGTAAATATTTTTTATTTCAATTATTCAGATGCTATTTCTAAAATGACTTTTGAATAAAACCTGCTCGCAATCCGTAAAATACAACTCACGAAAAAATGAAAACATTGTTTTTTGGAGGCATTGAAAACGAGTTGCCTTAAAATAGTAAGTAAATTTTCTATGATTTATTCTACCAGCCTTTAGTATACACCATTTAGGTGAGAATATTGCTCGATATTATGCATATAAGACAATTTAGGTGGCTAAATTTGCAAGGAGGTTAAATGATGTTTGACCTTTTATTGTCCATTATCCGTTCTCTTGCGTTCTACAGGTGTCGGCGGGTCTTCAGCCTTGATTTAATACACCGTTTGGATAAAACCCTCAGAGGAAGAGATTTCCAGTTTGAAAATAGGATGTCTTAAAGCTAACAGCGTAAATAAATAAAATAAATAAATAAGTAGTTTAATGACTCATGGTGCGCGTGTTACATGGAGATACATGTGAGCTCTCACGCACATGGAGATACATGTATGCTCTCACGCGCGTTACACTAATATATAGATTTAGCCAGGGCTAAAAGCGAAGCTCTGGTTAATAATACTTATAAACAAAATAATTAAATCGTGTACTGCTAAACAGAGACGACAATGGCTTCAAGACTAATAGATATATTTAGCAAAAAACCAATTGCACGTGCAGCACACTCTATCTTCTAATTTTGCACGTGCAGCTAGCTTTTTTGTCTTTCCCTTGCCGTTGTTTTGCACGACTACAACGCGGTTTCGTAAGACTAAAGCGTCAAACTTCCTAGTTACACATTATTTTTATGGAGGAAATGTCGTGTGTGTTTACCCAATACTTTGTTTCCTGTGTTCATGTAAGCTTTTATTTTTCACCGCCGCTCATTTTCACCTTGCTGGCCGCTAGCATTTCTCATTTTCTCACCGCCGCATTGCATTTGAATGTCCATGTTCGTCTCCTTTGTTTTCAATAACTCGCTCTAGCTCCTTCTCTGTTATCCACGTTAGTGTAAACATAAAAAATAACGCCGAAAAAGGCACGACTTTGTGTTAGTGTTTTTTCTTTCAAAGGGACCTGTCATTTATAGGCAGGGGGAGGGCTGGTGCAATTCTTTTTTCCCAGGTGAATTTTTTTTATGCCCTCCCCCTATTTCCTGCAGAAAAAAATGTAACCCTCCCCCTTGTATGGTCCAAAATAGTTATGACCCTCCCCACGCTAAAAAATATGATAGGAATTATTACTATTAAAAGAGATCAACTTTTACCCTATGATGAAGGGAGGCGCCAATACGACATTCAGGAACAGGTATCTAAGTGACTCAATATTGAGCACGAACAATCCTCGTGCTGCTGGAAAATTTTACACGACTGATTATGTTCTTGTCCCAGCTGATCAGTTAATACTGAGGGCGAACATTAGGAAGCTCAGTGACTTACTAGAGAACATATCAGATATGGATAGACGCATTAAAGCTCAACTTAACACCCTGTTTCACTCAAAGACTGGTAATTCGATACGAGGAGAAGAGTATTCTAAATCGTTTGTTGAAGATTTTATTACAAGTCTTGATGTAGCTAAAAAAAGAGTAAACAGTGAATTGAAGTATCCAAGAGAGGATAAAGGGGACAGAGAAGGCATCCCCCGTACACACCCTATTCCATAGGTAATTCGTCTCGAGTTATTTTTAAGACACACAGATCCCAAGGGGGATTAGACAACAGCCAATCACATAGCGCGAATGTGTTCCGCGTGGATGACCTACGCTCAGAGCCACGCGTCCTTCACGAATTGACGCAGAAAAAAATGGCGGAAGACTCGGAGAGCGATATTGCTGTTCGTTTTGTCGACGAAAATGACTAAAGAGAGATTTCTGCTAAAGCGGCGTCAGCGAAGTGGAAATTAAAAAAGAATCGCCCTTCCTCTCTTGTATAGAGCTAACAGCACAGCAGGGAAATCCTTCACACACTGAATATTCTCTCAGGATCATTTATAATTTACAGTTTGAAGAGAGCAATTTCTGGTTTGATATTTATTCTTTTATTAATTTTTTATTATTCAACAAAAATAACACTTGGCGTCGTACTTGCTTTATTGTACAAACGACCGGTTTCAATAGACCGGCGAAATTTCTCATTTTATTAAAGCAATGAGGTTACGACAACTTCGAGTTAAACTTGATTTCACGGGTTGTCACAGAGTCCAGCGATACCCTTTTCCCAGGTGAGCGGTGACTCATTTCGCTTCAATATTCAGAAATGCTCTCGATCTCTTTATGCTTTCATTGCCTTTCGCCCGACATGTTTTGCACGGCGTTTAGTCATGCGAAACCTCCACGAAACCTCCACGCAGCGCGCGAGGTAACTTTATCCCGATTCTAAAAATAACTCGTGACGAATTACCTATGGAATAGGGTGTGTATGGGGGATGCCTTTTCTGTCCCCTTTATCCTCTTTTGAAATATCTTAATGAGAAACTTGATCAATGCAAAGACATGTTTCGTGGTGTGTTACTGTTGAAAAACAAATCAAGAAAAAGATCACAGAAACAGACCAAAAGGAAGAGCAAAAAAAGGAAACAGCATGGAGGAAGTAAAAATTTTAAACTGCTTCATCAGCTTTTGTCAGCAGACTTAAATTCAGATGTTATTGACATTGACAATGTGAATGTAGAATCTCTTGCACGCCTTTCAGTTAGACAGGTCAGGTGGCTGACAAAAATGGCAAAAAATGGTCACTTGACAGAAAGAGCCTTTACAACAGCACAAGACTATCTAGATGGTTTTATGGTCGAAGAAAGTAAGGAAGAACTGGATACAGATGAAAGTCTCTCTGGGGAAGATAGTGACAGCTTGACAGAGAATGAGGAGTGTGGCGACTAAACCTTAAATATTTCGATGCTCCACTGAGGGGTTTAATGTGAGCTGGATTAATTCATACTGTTTCAACAATTAATATGTGTGGATTGGTTGGTTCTCAAAGAAAATCTTCAAGAACGTTTAGATATAAAATGTTTTGTTTGATATGTAATGACCGCTTTTGCGCAACAGTTGAGATACATGTAGGGTTGTTGGGTTGTTCAGGTTGATCATTATTAAAGTTTAAAATACTTACTGTGCAAGGGACGTGTTTGTTAACGTATTTTATTTGTTTATTTATTTTTATTTTAAGCGAACAGCAATGTTTGCTAACAATGGTATGGTCCTCCCCAAAGCCTGGCTTAAATTTTTGGTGGCCCTCCCCTTTTTGGCTACATAAAATTTAATGACCCTCCCCCCAAACCCAACTTTTCATCTTAGCTTCTTCTTTATCTTACTTGTGTACAGTTTCTTCGAAAAGTTTTTCACCGTCTTTTCTTGCTCAAAGAAGAATAATAGCGAAAACATTTTGCAAAACAGCGAGTCTCTCGTAGCAAAGACACACGATGACAACTGTTGTGAAGATTTCTTGTAGTTTAGGCATTGTCTAGTAGTCAATAGCCTTTTTGGTCTCCGTTTCTCCATTTTTCCTCTTTGTAAATAGCTCCTGCTAAACTTTTTCCGAAGCTTTCACTTGCCTCAATCCGAAATAATCTCACAAACATTTTCAAAACCGCGTGCCATGTTGAACAAAACAAAGAAAACAAGTTTCCCGTGACGTCATCCATGTATCTGTACTCTAATAGATCATGGGCAACGACCGATCACAGCGCGCGTAGCATTCAGATCATATATGTTAAACGAACAATCCTAGAAGCAATCTAGTTTGTCGTGTGGTTTACAGCTAGAGTGACACAGGAAGGCAGACTGTACTTCATACGGAAGCACACCATGTTACGATTTTGAGAATTGCTCTGTAATATCACAAACTCTAATATAGTCGTCCTCTTTTTCCAGTATATCAAAGAGTTTCCTCTTTAGTTCGCTTTTGAATTGATTTTTTTTAAGTGTTTTCATAGAAAGTGGAATACTGTTCCAAATTAAAGCACCGGAAATAGAGAAGGCTCGCTTCATATTTTCAGTTCTAACTTGTTCAACATAGTAATTTTCATTAGTAACAGATCTAGTCCGGTAACTGTGGACAGAAGACAGTTTCGTGAACATATTCTTAATGTTATCAGGAGCGAGATTATTATGGACGTCGTACATTAAAAGGCTCATTTGCTCAAATAGCAAGAACGATATCGGCAACTGTTTTGTTATTAATTGTTAGTACTATCATTTGCTGTGAAGCTTAAGTTTACCATTCCTCTTTTTTTTATTAGAACAGCCGTTTTATGAAAATTATCCGACCTTAGATTCCCATACAAGACCCTTCACCCGTCAAAATGGCTTTCAAAACCGTCATCTGGCCCCGGTTGTTCAAACATTGGATAGCACTATCCACCGCATAAATCACTATCCAGCGGATAAGTATTAGGGAAACCAATTGCGTTATCCGCTGGATAGATTTTTATCTGGTGGATAGTGCTATCCAACGTTTGAACAACCGGGACCAGGTCTATAGTGTACGGCAGTACGAAAATTGAATTTTTAATATTTCAAAACAACCGAGTATTCTTTGCCTCTGCGTTTTGGTCAGTCCGGTTCAATTCAAATGCAGAATATTCTGTAAATTCCGTGTTTTAGAGTATTCCGTTTATTCCGTATTTTAGAA